GGAACTACTTAAACTATTTTGTAATTGCATCCAAAACGTCAATAAAGGCTTCAGCCAAGCAATGAAAGATCAGTCTTCCCTCAGTTTACGAACAGCACTGAAAAAAAATGCTAAATCTGATAGGAAAAAATTCACAAGCTGCTATCAAAGCTGACAAATCCATGCATTAAGCTTCTAAGGAAAACCCATCAGTCTGTCATTCTGTCTTAACGAGAATACCGGAGAAGTGCCAGGAACCTTGCGCATCCTTCGGATCCAAAAATCACCGCAGGAGTGGGAAGCAGCAGCGCTGCTCAGAGCCCCCTCTTTGCTGCTGGCCACACAAACTACCCAGGTCACCACTTGGGTTTAGCTCCGCAGGGCAGAAGCGGAAAGGGGGGCACCTTGAGGAAGTTTGGGAGCTGAAAACCACAATTATGGATAACAGTTTTGGAATCAGGACAACTGAAATGTCAGTTCTTAGATGCGGTTTCAAAGTTAAGGTTGCAGCAAGGGAGGTTTCATCTTGGCCATGAACAGGCTGCTTAACTGAGCAAACAGTGAAATCCCAGCGTCAGGAACAGGTAGCCATAAAATAAAGAGCAGGTCCAGCAGATTAAATACCGAATTCCCTGTCAGGAGATTCCTATAGCTCAATCCCAGCTCTGAGGGTTCTTCTCAAGGGCTGCTGTCAAACTGAACTTTGTTCTCTCCACTTAAAGATGAGTTCTCAAACCCCATCAACTGGGCAGAGGGCGATTGTGTTACAAAAATAGGCAGCAAGTATCTTGAAGGGTACTAGAATGAAAAACAAATCAAAAACAAGCAATGGAAAGCCTGCAGACCTATGAGCCTTTCAGCTCTGAATGACATTAGAATACTTTAAGCATTGGTAAATATACACAGATTTCTACACATGCAAAACAGGCTACTTCTGCTTGCAACCAGTCTTCAGAACTGGTCCAAGGTGGCAGACGAGCACACACAAGCACTCGTCCCTTCTCCTGCCTCATCCTGGCGCTGCCTGCCTCCCAGGTGAGCAAAGGCTCTATSCCGATGCTGCCAGCTCAGCAAATTTACAATCCCGAGCAAATCATGGCTGTCTCTCAGAGCGGTGCAGCAGCACTGAGGCTGCCACAGCACACAAAGCCTGCGCTGCCCTGGCCTGCAACCTAGAGACTTAACAAGAGGTCCAAGACCTCCCCCCAAAAGTTGCATACAAATAAATTATCCTGGGGGATGAAAAGAAGAATAAAGATATTCCCTCTCCATTGCCGCTCATTAAATAGAAACACTGACAACTTTCAAGGCATCTTCATATACCAACTTTGGCAAGTCCTGGTCCTGACAGTGTCTATCTCGGGCTAAATGCAGCAACTACAATACAGTTCATGAAGGTCCAAGGTCCACYGATGGATGGTTGGCAGGTCTCACCTTTACACCATAGAACTCAGTGCAAACTTCAACGAGGTAACTGGATGTCCTGCTATGGATGTTCCAGTTTACAGGTATATTATTAGTTTGTTTCTTCCCAAGAAATGCAAGTTACTAGACCAGCAAGATCAGCAAAATGCCCTGGCACATGACACATCTGAGTCAGTCATCCCAAACCCCTCACAAACGCTGTGCGGGAAATCACATATTCGACTGGAGGATTGCACACAGTCAACCTTAGGAACTTTGTTTGGCACTTACACATTTATCCATCTCCTCCCCAATATGTAAAAACCATGGGGAACTATATCCACTTTGCCTTGGTTCAAGAGAAACTAAGTGACATCAGATTTCCATAGAAGTTGGTTTTGTTCTTGTTCAAGAAGAAAATATTTGTCCTTTTGAGGGGAGGAGAGCAAACAGTGGCAGGGAAGGTAGTGATCTATTTCAGCACCTCTCTTAGTCCACATTAATACTGGTGTCCACGGGTAGGCTGTGAGAACCTGGTAGTTAAGGACTGAGAGTAAGTAGATGAAAAAGCAGAACAAGACRCTGTGCGAGTGGGGGAAATTTGCCTGGAAGCAGAGCTGATGGTGCCACCCTGTTTGCACAAAAAGTTCCTTAAGCTTTGTGCCCCGGGACAACATCCAAGGCCTCCTTTCCTTCTTGGCTCCGCTATTAGGAACATGGGGCCCCTACCGGGTTTCAAGGGCACCCAAGTGTCCACCAGCTCACACTGCAAGGCTCAGCTGCACCTCGAGAGCACTGCAAGGAGACGACCTCTTCCAAACCCCAGTTCAAAGCTCAGGATTATGTACTGGGCAAGGCAGACAACTGCAAGCAAGGAGATAAATCTGTTGACATACGTTCGGGTGGTAGTTTTGCATGGAGTGGCCCTTCCTCTGCCCCTCCAGCTCCACCATATTAGCTAATGATAAACAGGGAAGTGCTGTGGAAAGGGGTTTTTAAAGCAAACTTCATTTCCCCTTGAGACGGCTGCTTCTGCCTGGCCTGGGGGCTGGGGACCGAGATAAGGACAGTCTGTCAGCTCAAGCGCTGCCTGGCTGCAGACAGCGAGCTGCTAAGGAGAGCCGACAGATATGGAGCAAGGAGACCAGAGCTATGGAGCCTCCGTAAGGCACCCGGGAAACAGGACTGGAGAAAGTTTGGAGGAGGAGGAAGTGCTTAAGGGCTGATGAAGCACGGGAACCTCAACTTCCAAAAGTGAGCCTGACGTCTGAGAAAGATTGGTGGCTCCTCCTCCCTTTTGAGGGCAAGGCCACTTCTCACCGCCAGCACTTCCCTCATTCACTTCTCCAAGGGAGAAGGTGCCACCTGTGCCACGTTGGTTAACGAGGGCTACAGCCGGCAGCACACAGGATACAACAGGATGCAGCTATTAACTGAAGGAAGCATTCAGGCCAAGTAATACTCCCTGATCCAATGCATTTTCATTATTGTACATATATAATGACCTGAATATAGACTGAAATGTATACAATAACAACAGTTACAGAGTAGCAACTCCTAAGAATAAAAATACTGAGTAGGTGAATAGGTAGATGACTGAATCTAGAATTCAGCAATAGAAGCAATCTTAGACAATTTGACGTGAATTAAAATAGACCCTTGCTGCTTTTCACTCTGATATTGGTTTGGGCAACTCGAACGTAGGTTAATAGTCATCATCTGCAGCACTAAAATTGCATTTTGATATCAAAGCATGGGAAGACAACCTCCATTAGTTTAAATCTTATTCAAAACACACAGAACTTCACTGGTAGCTCTTCCTTTGCCAGTCACATTTGCAGTGTTTTCATATATGCATAACTTATCTTGAAATTGTTATTATGCAGAAACAACACACACATAACTGTTTATATTGAGATGCAATACATCTCTACAACTACATAAAAATCTTTAAGTACCACCCCAATGCAGTAGAGCCAGCAAGGGCAGGGCTGTAATCTTACATTTACAAGGCTGCTGCTTGCAAAGCTACGATAATCTTATTTAATCTTAACTCCCAACCTCCCCTTTTCTTCCCACTCTCCATTCTGCTTTGTTTAAAGAGTTTAAATTGATCAAAAAAAAACGTTATTGGTGTATCTGGTAAAATACAGCTTCATAATCCTGGTTATTTTCACACAGCTACCTCCTAACTTGCATTTCTAAAGTAAAATTCTCCCTCTACTCCTAGACGCTCAGAATTCATCAAAACGGTTATTTCTGCAAGCCCAGAGGCTTAAGCACCACCAAATGAAGCCGTTTGCCAGGTTTTCAACTACTGGATGCTTTAAAACCAAAGCTGGAGGCAGCCACGGCCTTCAAACCTGCGTGCAAGGGCACCCGGGCACTGGGAGCCCCACGGATTTTCAGGAGCCCCACGGATGCTCGGGAGCCCCCAGGGAGCCGCCGAGGACCCTGCACATGCTGCCCCGGCCCCTCACGCCACCTCCCAGCGCCCAACCTGCCTGTTCACAGCCGGGAATGTTTCACCTGAACGCTGCTCCTGTTTCACCTAAACCCTGCTCCTAATTAACAGCAGGGCCAACCATTACCTGGCAGGCTCCGACACGCAGGTTAGTTATAATAACCAGGCCGGTTCAAACTTGTCCTGCAACTGCAAGGGTTTTTTATTTAAAATAAAAAGATTTGACGTCGTGCGCAGCAACGGTGCCCGGCTCCTTCCCGGCCCCTCTTACCTGTTGTGCCCGGCGGCCTCCCCACACACCCCCCGGGCACCCACAGCGCCCCCGACCTGCGCCGCCAAAAATGAATACGAAAGGAAGAGCTAAACGTCAAATGACACATAAATAAATAAAAAAATAAATGAAATGTCAATGGCACAGCCAGCCCCGCAGGTGGCGACCACCGCCGGTTCCGCAGCGCCGCAGGACGGGGCAGACCAGCCCCCCCCTCCCTCCCCGCAGCGGGACCGGGCCGGACCGGGCCCCCCCATCCCGGCGGGACCGGGCCCCCCCGGGCGGGACGGGGCCGATGGGGCCCCCGCGGGCGCCGCAGCGGCCGGGGACGCGGTGCGATGGCGCCCGGCCGCCTCCCGCCCGGGCTCCGCAGGGCGCCGGGCTGCGCGGCGGCCTCCCCAGGGCCCCCCCTTCCCGCCGCGGCGGCGGCCGCCTCACCTCGGGGGCTGCTGTCGGGCAAATAGGGCGGCGCCGTGGGGGTGACATTGCCGGAGCTGGGCGCCGAGAGCAGCGGCGAGCGCTCGTCCACCCCCTCGGCAGCCATGGCTACTGCGGCGGCGGGAGGGAGGGCGGGACGCAGGGCGGGAGCGCAGGGCCGGCGCGGAGCGGGGCGGAGGCGGTGGCACCGGCAGCGCAGCCGCGGGAAGGGGCTGGGAGCGAACCGGGGAGGGAGGAGGAGGCRGCAGAGGAGGCGGGACCGGCCGGGACGGGCCCTCCGCGGCGCCGCCTAATGAGCGCGGGAGGCCGGGCCGGGCCCGGAACCGGCGCTCGAACCGGGCCCGGAACCGGCGCGCCGGCCTCGTGGGGACAGCGGCGCCCCGGCGCGGCAGCCCCCGTGCCCTCCCGCGGGCCGGTGTCGCCGCCGAGGCAGCGCCGCAACACGGCCGGTCGTGCACGTTATTCCACGAGGCAACGCGGGCGGTTATTCGYGTTATTAGGTTAAAGCAAAGCCGGGTCTTGGCGGGCAGCGCTGCGCAACGTCCCCCGAGCGCGGTCGCGCCCGCCGCTCAAAGCGCCGCCCGCGGAAAACGCAACGCGGGYGCCTTCCCAAGGAAAGGGCAGCGAGTCCCAGCTGGAAAAGGGCCGCCCAGGCCCGGGCCGAGGCGGCGCCAGCTGGTCCTGCTCCTGCCCAAAGACTGTCTTGAGCGATAAAATACTCTAGGTTGTCACATTGCGACGTTTTCTGTGGGAGCAATTAYTTCTGCGTCAAAAGAAAGACGCTAAGAGTGTAGGAAATCAGCTCCTTTACAAAAATAGACTGATGTGTTTGAAAGGTTGTGTGGGAAATAATTATATAAATTACATGAACAAGAAGCTGATGCATTCTCCCTGCAGGGCTGAAATGATTCATTTTTACCTTAATATAACATGGAATGAATATGCCATGTAAAATTGTGATGACAAAATGCAACATTTTTTGTAGGTTATTTTAATGACTTAGAAAAGTATTTTTAATTTCATAGTAAATTTTGAAATGTTGTCTAGTCTTTCTCACTCGGGTCAGAATTACATTTTTAAATGGTCTTTCCTGCACAAATAAACTGACTTTCATCTAGCCTTGAAATTACCACATAAGGAATAACTCATTCCAGGGCAGGTGGTTGTTAGGCCAAGCATCTTCATCATGCAGAAAACGCAGTCATGCCACATCAAACTGGCTCTTCCCTTGGAAAATGATGTTAATAACGAGCAAGATGCCAATTTGATCTAAATTAAACTTTTCAGTTTTCAGTTATCTTTTAAAAAAAACCCCTCTGAATGAAAGGGACACTTAAAGAATGTTTTTCTGTGAGGATWTTTAGGGTGCAAACTGTTGTGCATCACCAAATCTTTCATGCCTCTGAGCCGCAGTTAGGCTGATACTGGCAAGTCGAGAGCAGCTCTTTACTAGTACTAGTCAAGATGTATGCAGAGATATTCTCTGTGTTCTTACTATCACATAGCTGGTTGTCAGCTGATAGACACAGGGTGATTTTTCGGAACTTCACTATAGGAACTAGAGTTGGCAGCTCATTTTCCTTATCATTTTCCCAATATTGGGAAAAAAAAAACCCAAAAACCTAAGACTTTTAAAAAAGCCACACATTAGACAACCCTGAGTTCCACCAAAACCCATTCCCCCCCTGCAATTCCGATCAGCAATTATGGAAAATCGATTGCGTGGGACCTGTGCACAGAACTGAGGTGCCAGGCCCCTGGAGGAAGGCTAAACCCCCAGATCAGTGTCAGCTGCCCAAAGGGAAAGCGGCGGCACAACTCACCTCTGCCAAGCAACTGAAGCCTGCACTTACAGGCGAGAATTATTGTTATTAAGCACCCCAGCTTGATGACCTATTATTGGAAATATGACTGTCATCTGAATAAGTAGCCACTCAAGATAAAAATAAATGCATTTTATTTATTTTCTAGCTCCTGTGATTTGACTTGTTAGAGCTCTTCAAGTCTTTTTGTCTCTGCTACACACTCTAAAACAGCAGAAATCAGTTAAGAGTTCAATTGTTCAGCTCTGTTTTTCAGTATTTAGGATCCATGCATTTTAGCTAGCTGAAACGTGGCTGCACAGGGAAGCGCTCACAGGCTGGGTAACGCCAAGTGTAAGACAACGAAGGAGCMAGAACTTGCTGCTTTCTTCCTACCCTTCTCTCTCTGGACACAAATGCCTTATGCTAAATATTCGTTACCCCTTTTCTTCTATTAAAGTCCTGCCTCGTTGGGTGGTCGGGATGCTACCCCCTGAGCAGCCCTGCTCCTGACTGCACTCGCCWGAGGATAAATCCTGCCGGGATTCAGGGCCACAGCATTCCTAGGACAGGCCCTGGTGCACGGAGCATTGCTTCATTTTGTACATGCAGCCTCATTGCCCTTGGACTCCAAAACCTGGTAACGCTCAAGTTTTCTTTCATTTTGAAAACATTACCATCCTTGGTGGCTATTTATTTTTATTATTATTATTCTTAGATAAAATAAAGAAGCAAATTAGTTTAACATGAGCAAAAATGCACATTTTTGAAGCTAGTTTTAGGTGCAAAAAATAGCATAGAAAGTGTAGCTACAAATCTTTGTTAAATGAAGGCTGTTTAACTAGTAATGCAAAAATTATTGTATGGAGTCCATATATGTTCTACTGATTCTTCTCAGGTAACTTTGTGAATTTATAGGTTAAAGTTAAGAACAAATAACCTCCAATAATGACCCTTCTATCTATCTACTCATTATTTTTATTACAAAAGTACCTCTTAGAGAGGCCAAGGCCAAATCCATAGGCAGCAGTTGCTCAAACACACAAGAGGACTATCCTAATCATTTGTAGGATAAAAATCCCAATCAATAAGTTTCTAGAAATGGGTAATGCAAGTTTATATAACATCCCACTGATTGATTGTGTAAGAAATGGAATAGAGTTTTTCCCATGTCTAATCAAAGGGCATGTTTGCTTCCTCCTAATGGTTAGAGCAAGAAGAAAAAAACTGGGATCACTTCTATCTGTAATGAAACACACAGTTTTCAGATACTACTCAAGCATTACCATCTAAGTAGACAAAAATTAAAGTCATATTCTACATTTAATAGATACTATACTTCTATACATAGCTAAAATCAATGAAAAGCCTATCGCCTTTTTGGGGCTCAAAAGAATAGTAAAACAGAACAATAAAAATCTGCTACATATGTCTGCAGAACTTCAGTCAGTTGAAATTATTTTTGAAAGATCTAGTTATATGGGATGGTTGATTATTAGAATACCTGAATTCCTAGGGATATAAAAAAATTAATATGGCATTACGGGAAAAGGAAAGGTAAACTGAGCAACTAAGACTATTATGAGGCACCTTGTTTTATATTCTGTGATTGTTTTCCATATCTTTCTCTTAATACCTCTTTTCCTGTGTAACCAAAGTAAATTAMTTTCTCTTCTACTACTTGATTAGTATATGAAAAAAAAAWAAAAGGAAAAGTGCTTATTTTTTGTGTTCCCAGATGTTCTACATTAAAACAAGGCACAGCAAGATATAACAAGATCTGGCTCATTTTTAAATATGGTAACACAGAAGGGATTACAAACAGCATATAGACCATTTGCAAAACCTTATCCTGATTTTAATTAATAAATGTATCCTGAGCTGCAAAGTTAGGTCTATAACAAGCTGAAATTTTATTCTATACATAGTCTAAGAAATGCAATAAAATATTTTGTATAATATGAAATATAGGATATAACATAATTAGTAGCACTAGTTATAAAAATAACTAACTGTAGTTTTCCATGTGTGGTTTCATTGAAGATAATACAGTATAATACAATATCTATGATACAATATCCAGGATATGAGGGATAGCTTGAAGACATATTTTGTCATATTGGCAGGTCTTTCACGCTTCTCAATTCCCGATCTTTGTGCTGTGTTACAACCTAGTTTAGACTTTAGATACAAGATGGCTTTGTACACTGGTATTGATGTCAACAACTTGAATGATAAACTCTGGGACTGGTAGTATGGTATTTTAATTTATGACTCAGTCTATTCTTACTCATTCACATGCAGAAGTATACAAAAACCTTGTAAATGGGAACATCACGTAAATCCCATTTTTTTTGTACCAGGGGTGGTTTGTTCCTCTCCATACAACAAAATCAGGGTAATAAGTCTACAGAACACAGGAATACACCAAATATGAACCTGTTCTGCACAAAAGCAGTTTAGACTCATCCATGCAGTTCAGCTCTTCATAGTTCTGAGTCACTCTTCCATTAGCAAAACACAGCCACAAAAAGTTATCTATTCTCTAGAGACTCAGGATATTGGTAGCTGCCAATGTTGCAGAACGGGAGTTGTTCTTCCAACCTCCTCTTTCCCATTTTTGGAGCTGCAGAGCTCYAAAAACGGGAACAACACCACGCAAGTGCAGCAAGAAGTCCAGCCAGCTGCCCTCACAGCATGCACTTTTTCCAAAGAGCAATGGGCAGCATTTGGCCAGCAACTTTGCAKAGCTATTTTTGATATTTTTTCTTCTATTCCTGTTGCTGTAGAGCATCTGTGCARGAGTGCATATGGAGGCTGCTCTTCTAAAGCTGCTTTAATTCTACTGCTGATTCTGCTGACAGAAGTGATCATGGTAAAGATATCTGCATTTACACAAAGGGGTATCTCTCCTATTTCTCCTAACTGGAATTGCAGTTGTGGTAATGCTCATTCTTGTTATCTTTTCCTGATGGCATAGCTGTCATTTCTGCTATAGTCTTGGTGCTATTCTAGTTAACTTTATTTTTAGAATAATGGAGGAATTTTCAGCCTCARTTCTGAAATAATTCACACTGGGAAATGTAAGCCTGATTGGCAGGAAAATTGTTTATGTGATTTAAATTTTATTTAAGCCTGGCTCCATATTAGTGTATTACCGTATCTGCAAAGCCTTTCCCTGGCTATCCTGAAAACACCATCTACTTTCAAAAATTGTAATTTAATTTATTCATCTCTTCCTAATCACATTACACATATTCAAGATTCCTTGCCTTATGTGTGAGAGCTTGCAGCTCAGTAAATGCCTATACCTAGATCCC